GGGGGGAGCGATTTGCTTTGTTTATTCCTCCTAAAGCTGAGTCGAAGGCGCTGCAGATGTCATTCTTCCCAAGCTTTAAGATGGAAATTTCACTAGTTTAGTCGCAAGTCAGGGAACATGCATAGAAGAGGCGATTTCTTCGGAATTTAGTTTTTGTGTACCCCAAAAGACTATTTGTTTACCACCGATAAAATCCAGTTGATGACAGCCCACCTCGAAGGCAGATGAGTCAACTTTTGTGGTGAAGCTTCTTCCCTTCACCTCCTAGGCTAGAAGTGGATTAATTTCAGTGGCATAGACCCAATATCGTAATGTATACAAGTTTTTTTAAGGGTACTTTTATAGATGAGAGGCGGGAAACAATTGAGAATGCGAATCACGTGCGTGAAGCCGGCGAGGAGTCCCCCTCCAACTGATATCTCCTACTCGCCTCATCTGCATTCCATTCCCCATCCTTCCTGATAACAAACACCCAATACATCATCCGCAATCAACTGTCTCTTGAAGTCTGCGGTAGACAGGCAGCTCTTACAAGTATTATTTCGAGTTATAAGATTTGTAAGTTAAATAAAACTTAGCACCAATGCGCCAATGCTAATGCTACCAACGCAATGCGTAAACACATGTGACAAGCGCTCAACACCTTTGCGTATTTCTAGTGCTACTGCTTTCAGCCGTTAATTAACCGTAGCACACCAATAGACCCCACAGAAATTGATTTGCTTTGGTGTGTGCCTCCAACCAATTGACACTCGCCTTACAATGGTGCAACCCGAAATAAAGAAGCCATCAGAAATGGTTCCCTGTGATTTCCTGCTATGGCAGGGTCCTTAGGTAATCTGCGATCCTTTGATCAATTTATGCATCGGCCTCTCTACGCAAACAAATGCAGGCCACTGTCATATCAGTGAATGCATGAGCCGCATAGTGTCGGAATTCCACAGATAAGCGTGACGAGTAAATTAAGCCCTACGAACAAATGAGTTTTGCTTGAAACTTAAATTAAGTTTCTAAATAAGGCATAGCTC